TTGAAAGACTGCTCGATATATTTTGTAATATGGGCGGAAGGGAATTGTGGCCGATATATTTAGAAGCCGATTTTTAATCCTTCAGATCTTTGACAGCTCTCATGATTAATGTTCGTGAAAAGCTAATTTTATTGCACTTAATAGTGTATCGTCTTAGCGTGATAGGTCTTCGTGATTACCTATAATCTGCCATTGATATTCGTCATGGCATCTCTGTCAAGTCAATCTATTTTAGATTTCTCCATAATCTGACCTGCAAAATAAGCAACCATTGTTATTTTTTGCTCTTCCCTGTGCTTTCATTACTTTTACAATGGTATACTTTTTCTTGATCTCTGTTGTAGCATGGTCGTCTAAATCTTATAATCTGCAAGCACCATTGACCACAACCTCTCAATTCGTTTTGTCCAGTCCACTTGAAATGAAATGCAAAGCAGCATTGTGTGCCACTTATATGCTCCTAGTCGGACTAAAGAAGCTGGCGACATAAGAGATTTTACGACATTTATTTTCCGGCTTCACATGTGTCATGTTTATTCTGAATGGTACAGATGATTTTTCTCAGCTGTTCTAGAACAATGGCATCATAATCTGAAATTTGTCTTAATTTAGTTAACATAATAGGCGGACCTCTTCCTTTTCCCTTGCTTGTTATTAATCCTTGCGAAGTGTCGTCAACTATACCAGGGTAAAAAAAGCCAAATCAAGTACACCCTGTGAATATCTTCCACGCAAAAATTGTGGAGACGAAATGAAAGTTCTTGGGTACCAGTTAAGATTAAGACTGGCGTTACATATAAAGATATGCATGTGCTACTGCAATCATTTTTTAGGGTATTTCAGCGAAGTAGGACTGATTGGTTTTTGTTTGGTACAACTGTATTATGTAATAATAAATTTACATTCATGTTTACTGTACACCTATTGATATTATAAATATAATATAATATTTACACCATTTCGTCAATATCAAAACCGATTTCACGAATGACTCTATTTTATGTGATATATTTAATACTTTCTACGTGTTGGACAATTAAAAAAATGTATTTACTCAGCACGAATTTCGTTTACTTTGAAATGCTTGGTTTGAATCATGTTCTTGTTTGCTATGTACAGTGTGATAATGGGATAACAATCGTTGGATAAACACTGATTAACAACATGTTTTTTTTTGGTTCTGTTTTAATATTTCTAAACATGATATAAGGTGTCAAAAATCAAGATTTTATCAAATCATGTGAAATTTTTACTTTTGATATCCATTAGGTGAAAAAACAGATTTTTTATTGGATTTAAGAATTTTCACATGCTCGAACCTCAAAAAGAAAATCTCGATCTCCTTTACTAAGAATTTGTACAGTCTAGTACCAGAGGAAAAGAATTAAATCTAAATATCAATTTTTCCAGTGGATACAATTCAGCTCTCGGCCACTTTTCAGATTGAAATCTGACATCCAGTTTCAACTTTTATACAAGAAAAACGTACTGCAACGCTTTAGTTAGTCGACACTTCCTCGACATGAGTTGTTATTTCAACATTAACTGTGATAGGGAATTTAAACCAACAACAGGGATTATTCACGAAAGCATCAACCTTGGTCTTTGTAATACTGTGGTAATCGCCAAACAAAATGCAAACAACCGTGTCATCTCGATGCCATTATGTGAAACAATTTAGGATGAATGGAAAATTCAATAACATTCTACATATTATACTTCGTTTACATTGTCTTTTTTGAAAAGCAATTTCAATTTTTGATTCACACAATTTCTCAATTTTGTTTCCGTTTTGTTTTCAATCCGAACTGACTTAAAATGGGTTTACGACAATGATCCCATCTCTGCTGGTTTTCTGAACACGATTGATATATTGATGTTGACCAAAATTGCAAAAGTAATAACACTGTGTAAATGTCAATCAAAAGTGTTGCTTTTCAGCAATATGTGGTTAGCTATGACATACTTGTAGTGACAGGGCTTAAATCAATGGTGAACATTTCTTTCCTCTATATATTTATCAATGATCAGTGATTAGTTTCGTGCTAATTAATACAATAGAAATGACACTGATGTTAACAAGGGTCAGCGTATGGTGTTATAAACTGTGTCTACACGTTTAACAGTTTAGACATTGAAACTTTCCGGTACTGTGGTTTAAACCACATTTCTTTCATTTGCCTTAGTGATAACCGCACTATTGTTGTGTCTCCGAGGTTTCATTGTTAAAACTTTGAATTCTCAGCTTTGATTTTTCTATCGATTTTCTAGTGTTTATAGTTAGATTATAGGAACTTATTTTGTTTAAAGTTGAGATTTATGTACAAGGTAAGCGATACATTTCTGAACTTCTGTATTTTCATTTAATTCGATTCTGTAGTAACAGTTACAAGAATTTTAAGACTCGTTATTTTCTTTACATAGCAATGATAACCTTTAATACTGGGCCTCATCTTTCAACACATGTTTCTTCCATTTCTTCACCCGTTTAACCAATGAACATACATTCGTCCCATAGATATCACGGTCAAGGTGAAGTGCTCTTGGGCCTAGTGGACCTCTTACCTAAATGCTCGTATACTCTTAAGTTGATTAGCCAAAGTCTTCCATTCATTTCACTTAGAAGGATATAATAATTGAAAACGGGTCAAGTTTTTGCTAAGAAATGGGCTAATCTCTTATCACAATGTATATCTAAACACTATTATTAATATGAAAATATAATCTTAAAGATTTTCCGTCACAGATTTAATATGAATCGATGACTACTATTTTTTTTATATGTAAAACATTATGCTTAGCACATGTTCTCACATTTTTTTGTCTACTTTACAAAGTCATTATTATTATAAAAACGTGTTTATATCACACTTAAGAAAATGTTTATTGAATTGACGTTTCGATTTTAGACGGGAGGTTATGTGATTAAAGCCAACTGTTTTACTCTTTATTTGATTTCTATTTTTTGTCCCTTGCGTCAGTCACATATACATCCAACGATATACTGATCGTCAAATTCGATCGATCGAATCATTGAAATCGGGATTCTGGCTGGGGATTTTTAGGCTTACAATGCTTTTGCAAAGCAGCACCCTGCATCAATTTGTTCCCGATTGTGGTAATAGTTTATGGTTTACATGGCCTCCTCCTATGACTGTCCTGTACTGTAGAGACTAGGTTTTGTGGTCTCATTCTTGTTATATGTAAAGATAGTATTGTTGGAGTTTTCATCCCCGTTCCCCCTGTTGTAGGGGATGGCATGAAAGAAGCATCTAGTCGTGTGGATGGGCATTCAATAAACAATGGTTTTTTTATCGAAATAGAGAAGTAAATGTGGCAGTCTTGGAAAACTTTCCATTAATGCTTGACATTGCCTGTCTCCTTTATCTCAATCAGATGCAAAAAAGTAGAACGTAAAATTTATGTCATGTCAATTCATCCACTTTGGAATATGAACAATTTCCCATTTTTTCATTATTAGTGCTGGGTATCGCCAATCATGCCATCATAGATACGTATCGCGATTCAAGGTTCACGATACGATACATATTGCGTTATTGGGTAATGGGATAGAAATTAATATTTTATCTTCAAAGTTTCTATATATTTCATTTCAGAACTTTATGATATAACTGTGATTTTTGGTAACATAGTGGTTAGCGTCCACTGAGTTATAAAAAGCTTCAGTGAAAAAAAAAAAATGTTATATCATAAACCAACTTAAAAAAAATCACCACATATTTATGGAATAAAAAGTATCTCCAAGTAACGATACGATACATGTATCGTGGCATGTCGTATCACGATACATCGATTCACCGATATATCGTGCCAGGACTTGTTATTATCACTCGAATACATGAACATTTTTCCCGCTTTATCACTCTTTCAGCTTGTTGTATTGCTGAGTACTTTCAGTTGACATGGGCGTACAAAACAAGACTATTCTGATCTTAATAGACTTTGTAGAAACAAACAAAATAGAAACTATAACTTCATATTGAGAAGAAAAACTAAGACAGATACAATGCTCCTGTGTAAGAAAATGACTGTATAATCTATAGAAAAGTCCACCCGCCTTTAGAAAATTTTATCAAATCCAGACTGCGTGGAATTAAAATTGATTATATTTTTTAATATTTATTTTTAAATGATATCTACGTTCTAGATCGAACGTGATTAATTTTGTAGTCTACAATAGGTACGGAACGAGGTCGGTAATATTCTTTTTCAAGAGAAATTAAAATATAAGCTCTATACATACAAAGGGTTAAATCTGCCTGGGAATAATTTAAATGCCGATCTGGAAACTAGAATCTCTTTTCATAATTACCTTGTACAGAAACTGGACGTTGGAATTTATCCTGAAATCTGGTTTGGGTATATGAAATTTAGTTTTACCACTGGTTGAAGGGGGAGAATGCACCAGCTTCACATAATTTAATCTGTTTCCCTTTGTACACAGGGGATGTCTTTGCAATGTCTTGGTAGAATTATTTTAGTTTTCCATAAAATAAAAGTAGTGGTCCTTGTTTTATGAACTGAGCTAAAAAAAAAACATAGCTTTTGAAGAATTCTCCAGAATTTTTCACCATACGATATTTAACCATGCTTTAAGACTATTATAAAAATTTGGAAATATACTTGGTAAAGTAATTTTGAAAATACGTATAAGTCGTACATGTTGGTGACTGTGTAATTCAACCTTTGTATTTTTTTTTTATTTTTATAAATTTCAGATATGACATCAAGATGTGGTATTATCTTGGTTAGGTGAAGGAGAATGTCTTCCATTTTCAAACATGGCGTCGTTAATGAAGAGGGTAAGTCTTGTCCCTTTGAAATTTTTTCTTTTGGAAAATTTTAAAATCAAATGCATAGATTTGAATAAGGACAGTGATCACTGAACGGATGGCAATAGGTTGTCATATATCTTATTTTTGTTACTGATATAGGTGATAGGAAGTATAAAAGGAAGACCATCTCCAAGTAAACCAGTGAAACCAACGCCAACCCCAACACCGGAAGTACCATGTAAAGACACCAAAGGACCACCTTCTCCTGATCTCTCATCTTTACGCCCTGACGAACTTCAGATTCTAAACGAAGTTTTCAGACGACAAACTGAATTCGAACAAAATGAAATTAAAAGAATCGAGTAAGTATGTTATAAAGATGATGGTTTATTTTGTAGTGTAGTTGATTTGAGTTGAAAACAGCAGTCTCGTATGTCCCAATAAGCTTTTCTGACGATGGATCATATATCCGTAACATGTGTCGACCACATCATCAATGGTTCTAAAAAGTGATTGCTTATTTTTATGCTTCTTTTTAGAACCTATTTGTCCTTTCGACCACGTAAAAACTAGCAAATCCGGTAAATTCCAATTGACATCATATTGTAAAGATAAAAATGTCTCCAAAGAACATAGGCCAATTTGTAAACTAACTTTGAAAGCACTAAAAAAGAAACAAAAATAAATATCGTTAAAATATGACAGTTTAAAGGAACCTCAAGAGATTTTGCCTTAAAAGAAGGAAATATGTTAAAAACTGAAGTTCCTGTTTTATTTTAAAACTCAACACAATGACAGGGAGTTGAAATAATGGAAGAATACGAAGAGAAAATAATCAATATTATATATGAAATATTATGACGTACATTGAAAACATCTGTTTCTTCTCAAACTTGATAATTATTTGACTGATTTAAACATATAATTTATTGTGAGTTTAAAATTAATGGTGTATGTTTTTTCTCAATGGATAGATTTTCTTCTACACTCTGTCCCCTCTGTCAAAGTCTTCTGCAGCTCGTTTGTAGCATTGATTTTTGATTTGTATAAGTCAATGTTCATAATGTGCCCATCGCAAAAGAAAAAAAAACTCACTGACATGCCCATAATAATCTCAGTCGACATCTTCAAGCCACTTTCATTGACAGTTTTATAACACCCACTATCACGATGAGCATGTGTTCCACATCATTTTTCAACATAATCTACATATTCTCTAGAGCTCTTTGTTTTATTGACAGTTGACATTTTACTAACGTATACGTGTATCAGATTTGGACAAATCTGGAAATCCCAAGGTATATAATGAAACGACTGGAGTTAACTTATGAACTTACAGTCTATTAGTGGTGTAATATTGTTGTATTAATTATTTATGTACTCATTACTTAAAAGTAATTTCCTTTGACCAATTCCAGTTGAAAAATTCTATTGACTTGACTATATTGACAAGAAATTGGTTTTATTTTAACAAAAACAAAAACAGACTGATTTGACAAAGATTTATATGATATACGTAAAGATTAGGTTAAAATTGTATGATTTAGGTAAAGATTTTTATGTTTATACAAAGATCGACATGATTTCGGTTATGATAGTTTGAACAAAGATTGGTATGATTTAGACCAAGATCGGTATGATTTTGATCAAATTGTTATAATGTACGCAAAGATCGGTATGATTTTGACCAAGATTGTTATGATGTACATAAAGAATGGTATCATTTAGACAAGATCAAGAAATTGGTTTTATTTTAACAAAAACTTAAGGCATTTTTTGACTGATTTGACAAAGATTGATATGATTTACGTAAAGAATGGTTTGATTTAGACCAAGATTGTTATGATGTACATAAAGAATGATATGATTTAGACAAGATCATTATGATTTGGATTAAGATTATTTTTAACAAAGATTTGTGTATTTTGACAAGATCGTCATGATTTGGATTAAGATGTTTTTTAATTAAGATTGATATAGACATAAATTGATATATTTGGACAAAGATGAGTATGATTGAGACAAAGATCAGTATGATTTAGACAAAGATCAGTATGATTGAGACAAAGATCAGTATGATTGAGACAGTATGATTGATCAGTATGATTTAGACAAAGATCGGTATAATTTTGAACCAGATTGGTACAATTTGACATTGAATGGTATGTTTAGACAAAGATCGATATGATTTTAACAAAAATGGTATGATTTAGATCAAGATCTGTATGATTTTATATTTATTCACCAATCACCTTCATTACAGAAGAATCAGAGTAGAACTTGAAAAGTATGAAGATATGATTCGCAATCAATCGGAGATGAAAAAGAAAGTCAAACATGTAGATTTACGGCTATGTAGATTATGTTATAAAACTAAATTTGCTGATGGTATAGGTCGAATTTGTTATGATTGCCATAAGCGAGTTTGTGGTCGATGTGGTTCCTTTACAAGACCACGATGGAACACGAAGAAAAATAAGGTAGGCTTTAGTGGTATGACTTTCCATTTATTACGGAAACGTTCTGAACAGCAACATTGACCACATCCTTTGGTCATATTGGCCATATTCTGATTTTCATTTGACCACATTAGCAACAAGGATTCGGGGATTCCAGAACAAAAATTGTCCAGGTATAGAATCTGAGACAGTTCAATCAAAACTGCGAAATTTCTAAACCGTAAGTTTTGAAATTAGTTTTAAGTGAACGTTTTGTTTCAGAACAAAAAATAGTTAAGTGTAGAATCTGAGACAATTCAATGGAAACTTAATGAGAAATTTCTAAACTCAGCTACTGAACGATATTTGAAATTATTTCAGAGTGTACGGGGCAAATGGAGATGTAATATGTGTCAATTGAAAAGAGAAACATTGTGTAAAACTGGACAATGGTATGGAGGTGCCCATACACCAACTGGACAAGTCATGATGAAGAAAATCAGTTTTTACGGAACAGAAACGGAATCTGATGTTAGTGTAAGTCGGTTGTTGTTCCTATCCTGCATGTCAACCATTACTAACGAATTAACCTCTGAGAATTTTTCCAAATAACCTCTGTTTGCATTTTTGTTGGATTGTGAATGCTTGGCATAATGAAATTCATCGTTTTACGTCCAGGGCGAAGAGTGGCATGATACAAAATTTAAGTTGAGGATTTTGACACGTTTTGACCTCTATTACCATTTTCACCATTGAAATGAAATACTTTCCGAGATTCCTAAAATCTTTTATTCCTCGAGTTATTGTAAATGTCGTTTAAGTGCCTTGGTGGTAATCAGATCACAAATTGTACTACAATTGGCCAATAATGTATCTACTTTAAAGACAATGTAAGCCATCAACATATTCCCAATAGTTCCAATAAAACTTAATCACTTTCTTCGCACGCAAACGGCTAGAGGGGAAATACGAGGTGATTGTATTTATAGTAAATAGCCACATATAACAAAATTTCACCTCTGTGAGACATTTAAAATTGAAGGGTTAGGGAAAAGGTTATGAATATATCAAGGCAAAACTGGCATATTCTTTGATAAGTCTACATCGTTCACATTAATACATATTGGCCATAACTTTGGTTTAAATTTCATCTTCAAAATGACCCAGGATGACTATTAGACTTAACATTGATTTTGACTTGTGATTAAATGTCAGGGTTTTGTCATGTAATGATATAGAATAATAGTCTACAGTGTCACGAATCGGGTATTTGTCACATAGTTTATGGTTATAGAATCGAACTTCTGCTACATGAATATTACCTGTTTTGGCCAAAAAAACAAACCTATTATGTAAAATTGCCAGTACAACGTAAAAATGCTAGCGTAAGTACACCAATGTCGTCTTTTGCAATTGCTTTTTGTTATTAAGTTAAAGTATCAAGATTCGTGACTGTTATTCGACCATTAACTTTCTAATTCGTCTTACTTGCATGTTGAAATTGGTTTAAAGGCGACGTAATTTTAGTGATATTATATGACGCCGACTATATCATTTCAAGTCCATCTTATAATCTACCATTTCAACTAGTCTTTATCTGTCTTTTGGCCCCAGGACACTGGATTAATCAGAAATTTTGAGATAGAATAAAGAAATTAAACCTAGGATAAAAATAAACCTAATCTATATTATCAAGGAGCTGTTCTGAACAGACAATTATTTTATGTCTTTGAAATCTAAATTTAGATATTTTGAGGATAGCTTGTTCCAAATTTGGAAAATGTAAATGACATGTAGCTCATTATAGAACATCTATTGATGGAGTTTTTACTTAATATAAAGCAATTTATTTCATCGTACTCGGTGTGTTCTTTGTGAAGACCTTACAAATGCTGGAATGATCAATTCTCAAAGGCGTAGAGATAAATAGATGTAAGATATATATTGTCAAAATATTAGCCACTTGTATCCCCCCCTCTCCCACCTCAACTACCCCCATCCTCATTTTTCATCAAACTGCCCACCGATGCCAAATATACGACCCCATATGATACAAATAGCAATAATTGGTATAGGGATTCATTGTCCTTTTCAGAAGTAAATTCTAACTCGCGTTTCTTTCCATCAGATATGGAGAAGAATATGAACTCAAATTTTCACAAATTTCTGTCTAGAGCCAAATATGAACGACTGTAACATTTTGTGATATTAATAATGATTTTTGAATTATGAAAAGATTACATGTTAAATATCACGTTATGGCTAGACTATCATAATTGTCATTTACACCTCACATCGTTAATCTTGTCTTTATTTATTAACAGAGTTACAAGCTAGCATCACTGGAAAATGACAATGATAGAATCCCACTAGGCAATCTCACTGATTCGGAATTAATCCGCAGTATGGATAGTTCTCGAAATGCCAATCAGTTGTCTCCTAAAAGAGCACGTCGTTGTAGTCTTCCGGTGTCGTCCACATTGCCGGATGAAGATGAAGATGAGTTTGAAGACAATGAAGTTGAACTTCAAAGAGAAAGGCTATTATTCCGTCAAAAAAGACAACAACGAAAATGGCGGCGACGGTATTTACCGGACGTCTGTCAAAGTGAAGAAAGTACTGTCGAAATGACCTCCGACACAATGTTCTCTTCCGGTTTAAGCTCTGAAGATCGGAAGAGACCGAAATTAAAAAGTCGCTATAGATCATTACCTAAATTACAACTGACAACCAAACAACATTCTAAGTCGAAAGTGTCTTCAGATTCAATGACAGACGACAGCAGTGCCTTGTCATTTGTAGGAAAAGACAGTAGTCTATCTGATTGTGCTAATTCACCGTCGCTGTATTCTAAAATGAAGAGACAAGATGCTGTGTATTGTAGTAGTTCATCAAGTCTAGCAGATGTAAACGGAAATACTTCAAGTCCACTTCCACCCCGCCATTCTGAATCCAAGATGGCCGCCTTTAGAGCTGTTCAAAGTTGTTGTTATAATCTAGCATGTAAAGAAGAATTATTATCCAGACGTGTAACTCTTTCTCAATGTGAAAATATAGAAATATGTCAAAATAGTGCTTTCTCAGGTAGCCTTTAACATTAGTTTTTACTATCACTTTGTCTGTCGCCATAGGCTCTTATCTGTAAATAGATATTTCAGATTGTGTTCTTACTTAATCGTATAGTTACACTGATTTTATAGTAAGGCTGATTACTGTTTCGTGTCACACTGGTTCGCATAGTCGTCTGTTACTTATTGTCTGAACAAAGCAAATTTTTTTTTGAATTTTTTCTATATCTTTTAAGAGAATTGGAATGTCAGACTCAAAATTGTTTTCTGTAAAAAAACAAAAGACATCATTGTGTGCTCATGTTTATATTTTCATCAACGCTAAGACATTCAGTACAGTACTATTTTGAGGCTGCAATTCCGATTCTCATATAAATAATGAACAAAATTCACAAAACTTTTCTTTGCTTAGACAATAGTTAATGGAATTTTCATTAAGATATAGAATCTACGTGATTTATCAGTCAATAAGAACTTTGAAAAAATTCATGACATCCTTCGTCAATTTCAGTGCAGGCAACAACCAAGACATTATGATTGTCCATAATTATTCCCAGTTCTAAATTACGCAGAAATTTAACAATGCCACATACTCACGAAGAAGCACATATATACACACATGTGGATATGCAGGCCTAGTCAGTAACAATGGATCTCTTATCTTCCAGGCGTTGTTTCAACTGCTGCTGGCAATCCCCATGAAGTTATTCTACATAAAGATACCTCAGATCCTAGTCGTAGAAGTAAGTTCTTCTTCCTACATCTAGTGCGAGATTAAGGGAAAATTTTCAAAACGGCTGTTCATTTTAATGTGATTATAAAGTTGAATTCCTGAAGGCTATGAATAACATAGAACATACATGATATGTATTAATGATCAATTGTCTTTGGTATCTTCGACCTTAAATATATCGGCTTCAAACTCTAAAAGTCGGTGTGCGATTGTGTTGTCAACTTAACACCTCTTTGGCATGGTCACGTAGTAGAATTGATTTTGGTACTCTTGTCATCTTATTACTAAATTACTGAAATTGATTTTATTATCCAATCAGATTACTGTATTCCTAAACTTCGGGGATTTTTCAGCGAAAGGTCTGGGAATGAGAATAGTCGGTGGACAAGAAAGTGAGAATGGTGAAATGGGAGCCTATGTTACAATGGTTATTAAAGGTGGACCAGCCGATGTTCAAGGAGGAATCAAAGAAGGTAAACAAATAACCTGATATCAAGATGGGCAAAGCATTTCGGAATCTCATCGGATTCGCAGCTGTATGAACCTCAAGCAGATTGAAAAATATCAAGAGTTTGAATGAGGTCAGCTAAAACATATCCAGCTATTGATCAGTGTCTCCAAGAGGTCGCCATATCCTTACAGTCGTTGACAATCCAGTTGCTGTCAGATTCTGGTAGTCGCAAGGTGCAGCTGATCGCCCTATTGTATCAGGGGTATCGCATCCACTTTGACCTATACAAGTTTGTAAAGATTTTGTTTTTTATGCAATATCATATAATCACACTATTTTGAAATAGTGTATTTCTATTAACTTGATTTTGTCTCTGATATCCGACCTATAACCAGTATCATATTAGTAGTAGGTTAGTTTGAGTAGGGGTTTTTTTGGAATAACACAAACGATGAAAATATCTTTTATTCTTTGTATAACAATTAATATACGGTATCTTGAATTACTTCTTAACAATTGTCGCTATTTCTGCTTGCTTCAGAATACAAATTATCTTTGAAAGAAATAGTTCACAAAAAAGTTATGAATTGGAAAAGAAAAATATTACAAATCTCAACAGAGTCATTCAAAGACAAATGTCTTGCCAATCACGATATTAAATTATGTTCTGAGACACGCATCTAGCCGGGAGCAACATGTGTATCGTTTTCTAATTCCATTCAAATTATGCCTCTAAGATACACGCTTTCATATATTTTGATTATTTTAGGTGATCAGATTTTAGAAGTCGATGGCCAGTCTTTGGTCGGCGTCACCTTTGAAGAGGCACGAGCCATAACTGATAAAACAGGCAATGTTGTGCAACTAGTTGTTATTCATCAAGTTCCAAGGTATACACTAGATTGTATTTTTTAGATATTCATAATGTTTCATATATTTTGGTTGAAGAAGTATCCAATGAAGTCGATTATACTCAGTCCTCTTTGGGGTGATGGCCGTTCGTCGATTCTATTCTTGGAATCCTTACAGCAAGATGCTACCTCTGTAAGCAGAAGGATTTTTTCACTTGTCGTCCTTTATCTGCATTATTGAGTTATATGAGGTGGCATCAGTGTTTGTTCTTCTGTGCCTATATGAACAACAATGGTATGCCTAAAGAAGTCAATATTGAAAAGGGCTAGATATATAATATTGAACTGCGACAATTGTCAATTATATTTTGGTCATTTAAAATCATTTTCTATTGTATAGTATAAACGCAGAAGCTGAACAGACCAGAGTGTTGAAAACAGGTAATTACACATAATCTTCTTACGTTAAGCCTGTTCTTACAGGCACTAATCTGTCCATAAATCAAAGAGTAATCAGTGATCTTTTGATAGCAGATTTCTCAGTACAATTTAACCACAAAGACTGAAAGAAACAGTAATTGTGGATCTCAGCCTTATAATCAAAGACTCTGACAAGGCTAACGATTCTCATTTTTACCCACATAAGAAAGTCATATTATTCTGATCAAGATTCAAGCTAAAAGAAAACCGGTAATTAAAATTAGTATATCAATGGACCAATTAGGCTTTATTAATTCCACAGTTCCAGTGTCTTAAATCTGCTGAGAACTATGGGAAAACACTGAATATAAGATTAAAGAATCAAGCTCGGACTTTTCTTGGTGATCATTAAAAGGCTCCAATTGAATCAATGTAGATTTTTCCACGAAGCTAAACCTAGAAGTGAAATATAAGTTGTGTGATGTTTACATCATTGATACCAAATGTTTTATTTGCGGGATTTGTTGCTATATGATACCGTACAAAATAACACTAGTATTAAAATACGGAACTATCTTATTGCAAAATGACATGATTATAACCTGAAACCGACCTTGCTTGCTTGCTTGCTTGCTACGATAGTACTTTAATATAGTACACATTATTGACTTCTTTTATTCTTGGTTTCCGTGACAACATAAAGGTCCGTTTGATTTATTTCTTTCTCAATTTGTGAAAACAATTCTCATATCATCATCAACTTAGATCATAAAATAACACCGCAAATGTCATTGAAATCTTGTTTAAGTACTCTTTATGTAGTTGGATTCGAAATTTTTGCTCCTAGAAATGTAAATGTCAGATCATTAATATAATGTCTCGTTATTACCAACGGAATTGTTATTTCCTTTCCTAAAAATGAATTTTTATTAATAACGCAAAATGAATCGTTGTTACCAATGTAAATATGAATTGTTATTACCAATGCATGAATCGTTCCTAGCAACGTAAAAATGAATGGTTAATGCTACCGTATTGTTATTTCCTGTGTAAAAATGAATTGTTTTTGCCAACGTAAAGGTAACAACGTTATTGCCACCGTATCGTTATTTCTTACGTAAAAATGAATTGTTATTTCCAACGTAAAGGTAACAACGTTATTGCCACTGTATCATTATTTTCTACGTATATATGAATTGTTATTGCCATCGTCAAAATGAATTGTTATTTATGATTATTGTGAAAAAAGATTATCATATGAATCAAAATTGGTTGCGTTTATTAGATCGTGAACTTGTTAAACTGTCAATATAAAGACTTCCAGAATCTTTACATTAACAATTATGTTTTGTAGGCAATTGTCAGGTATGCCACCCCATCCCGGTGATTATCAACTCCGCATCAATTGAAGTAAAAGTCGAAATGTTTTATGTTTCTGTTTCAGGCGTATCGTTTGCTCTTCCCAACCTTCCTGTCAGCAAACCCAGAAGACGAATGTTACCACCGACACCCGTAAGTCGATATTTCTTTGTTACGTTAAATAATTATGGGATTATTTTCTTTTAGAAACGGAAAACTAGTATTAATCTTGCCAAAAAAGTATTATTATTGTACTTTTCGGAAATTGAATGATAGATATATCATGTCAACTTAAATAAAACACTGTACTTTATATGGCGAGATAAAGTACAATGATTCATATAACTTGACAAAATGATTATTATTGCACTTTAAAGAAATGATCATAAAGTACAACAAATCAATAAATATCGGAAAATCTAATAGCTTTAAGCCACAATTTCTTATAACCTATCGACATATAAAGACAAGCAGGTGCTAATTCTGCTTAGGCTCGTCATTTTATGAAATATAAGAAACAAAATGCTAAGAGGAGATTGCACAGAAGCTGCTTTATACTTGAACTGTGAAAACACAATAATAATCAATGGACATTGTTAAACCAATTTTCACGAGACGAATACGAAGAACTATTGTCTGCCGGTTGACGTTACCTATTCGTGCGAATAGATAACCATAATTATGGTGACGATAAAGCCAAGCTTAAAATGTGGTAAATGATCGGCTAACTTGAAGACAGTTTTAAGTCCTGATTTTCTGTACCTGATTTAGCTACTGAAAGCCTTCCATAAACATACAGGAAAGGGGATAACTGCCAGCAATCGAGAATTTTAATAAGATTCCTGCACATTTTAGAAAGTTTTTTGATTCAGCCCCTTTGAGATAAATTGAATAGATGGGATTAATAAACTAAGGTGAAAGGCATAATAAAGGTTTTACCAAGCATGAAAAGATAAAAAAGATGAGTGATTAATTTTCTATATGATAAAGGATTGAAAATTAAATCTTTCAAAAATCAATAAACTCATTTCCTTCATTAGGTACCAACTGCCTTGCGGGCATTCTATTATCTTAATCACAGTGGCTCTTAATACTATGTCATTTTACAAAGGTCCTTTCGCTTAGAAAATTAGTAAGTGAATTAGATGTGTTGGAAGTTAAAGAACACAATTAAAAAGGTCAGAGAGTCAAAGACAATAATCCGAAACTTGTTATTGGCTTTGATACCACTTCATGACACGTTGGGGATATTCGCACGAATTGGTGTTCATGTTTTCTGCCCCTGGTTAGGCTATTGAAGAATAACGCCAGATTACGTACATTTTGCAATACCTTAATAGTAGTCTAAACTCAAGAAGGACTTGGACAAAAAAATGACGTATCTGTATACTAAAGACTTTTTAACAATTCGTGTTACTTTGAAGCTGATGTATATATCTTCTTTAAAGGTTACAAATTAGTAAAAGATTAAATCTAATGCGCTACTTCAAATTACCTAATCTGAAAACGACTGTTTTTCTGTAATCCCCGAGTCATTCAAGGTTTCAAATTCGTGCTCCATAATATGATAAATGCATTTCCAGCCGCTGGTAGATAACAGACTTCGGGATTCAAACTAGAAACAATATGGTTCGGACTACAATGTAACTTAAGAATTGAAACATGTAAAAAGCTACATCGTTATTTTCCATGCTATTTAAAGAGTTCTTCTATGACAAACAATTATTAGCCATTATCAAACCTTTTTAATCCAAAGAAATACGTTGTGATTTTAAGGTGATCTTAACCTATTAATCTGCAAAACATGGTCGGTATATTTGTATTCAGAAAATCATATCGACACATATACAAGACTAATTGATCTAAAAAAAAAAAAGGTTAATGGCCTTGTTAGTGTTAATGTTATTCAAATTTTAACAGTCCAGTCGTTACTAAGAAACGATGTGAAACTGCGTTTACTTCAAGACAAACTGTTGTTCGAGAACAGTAGCCTACATCTAGGAATATGTCTCCCTATCTATTTATTGAAAATTTGTTTATTCGGCCATATTCAATAATTCACTAGACGATTATGTTGCACCAAGTGGTCAAAGAAGGTTCGTGTGTTAAGATCACGTCTATAAACATTACTAAAACAAATTATTCTTTCTGTTAAATTCAACAGATGCTCAAAACATCACTTGTAGTGCGATATAGAAATATTTAAAACATAAACATTATACAGCTTTATAAACATTACACAGCTTTATAAACATTACACAGTTTTATAAACATTACACAGCTTTATAAACATTACACAGCTTTATAAACATTACACAGTTTTATAAACATTACACAGCTTTATAAACATTACACAGCTTTATAAACATTACACAGTTTTATAAACATTACACAGCTTTATAAACATTACACAGTTTAATAAACACTACACAGTTTTATAAACATTACACAGCTTTATAAACATTACACAGCTTTATAAACATTACACAGCTGTATAAACATTACACAGCTTTATAAACATTACACAGTTTTATAAACATTACACAGCTTTATAAACATTACACAGCTTTATAAACATTACACAGTTTTATAAACATTACACAGCTTTATAAACATTACACAGTTTTATAAACATTACACAGTTTTATAAACATTACACAGCTTTATAAACATTACACAGCTGTATAAACATTACACAGCATTATAAACATTACACAGCTTTATAAACATTACACAGCTTTATAAACATTACACAACTGTATAAAAAGAATATAAATATCAAATATGTCTCGTTCGATTGAAATGAAACATTATCAACAATATATTTTGTAACTGTTTTTTAACTATTTTTGTTTTATAATATGTGATGATTTTTTCAATTGAACGAGACAGATTTGATGCAGATATATAATAAAATGTTGTTTTGCACTCAGCAAAAAATCGATTTTAAAATTACCTCTTGGGGTTTAACAAGATAAGACCGCTATATAGGTTTGATGCCTGGGGATTTATAGAATATATAATATTCTTATATTTCATCATTAAATAAGATCCTATTTGTCTAGTTCGCTATATGTGTATGATCTCAGCATAGCAGTATTAATCTGGAAAATATCATATTCCGTTATCTAATAGAATTTAACCAGAAAGGATTATATATGCCATTCGCAAATCGTCGGCGGCGGTTTAAAGTTGAAGCTGTCGAGCGTTAGATTAGCTTCCATGATAGACCAGTTAAACGATTTGATAATGCTCTTTTGTGTTCTAGTCCCGTTCATAAGTCAG